GTCAGCTTCCAAATATGGATGGATAAAAGGCAAGTGAAAACCCCACAGACCCCTGTCTTCCCACACTGTGTCTCCTCCCCACTCAATGCTTCTATTTCTTGGAATTTCACAACTAGGAGTGCTTTTCTTTAACAAATATTGACTAACTCAATGAGCATGCTTTATTTTATCTAAGAGGACACTCTTATAAGTGAAATGATGTTTTTAACAAGCATCACATTGTCAATGAACGCAATGTTGGGCAAACCCTTTAAAAGGAGAGTTATGAGTTATAAAAGGAAAGTTAATGATAGGATGAATTCAGCAGTGAAATTCAGGTTCTTGTGAACGCCCTTGAACACATGGGCATCAGTGGGTGCTGAGGGAGGCCTACCAATCACCGGGTGCTGTCTTCTCCCATTCATACAAGTGCTAATTTCATCAAAAGAGGTTGCTGTCCCCATAAAGATGGGTGGAGAAAAATGACGTCAGAATGAAGGTAGCACATGTTGATCGCCGTCATATAGCTACACTGATTAAAGCCTGTATGTTTTCTTTTAAAGGGAGCTTTTTAAATGCTTTTTCATTTACTCATCTTATGTATGTGGAAAATATAGAAAGAATGAAAAGAGAGTGTAAGGGCAAGAGTGAGAGCGAGAGTCAGAGAGAGCTCTCATTTATTGTCTTATTCCCCAAATGTCTAAACAGTTTGGCCTGGATCAAGACAAAGACAGGAGTGGAAGGCATTTCAGGTTCCCCATTGGGTGGCAGACACTGGAGCCACCACTTGCTGCTGGGTGTGCATTCTTAGAAGCGGGGATCAGATGTGAGCTGGGACCCCAATCCAGACGCTCTGTTATGAAATGGAGGTGTCTAAATGGCTTCTTCGCTGAGAATTCAGATGCCCATCCCTGGCTATTGATTTTCTTGATTCAAGATTTCTAGGGAACATTTCTTTTTGTTTGGCCAATGACATAAATACAAAATGCATGTTAAACATATTATGCATTACATATGGATTATTTATACATACACATGCATATTTATAGATGTGTATAGAATAGCCATTCACTGCAGGAAACTCTGAGCACATAGTGCTGTGACACCTGTCAGAAGACATGGAGGAAGAGTGCAATTTCCTCTGTTTTTGTCCCAGACAAGAGGCACTTCATATTGCATCAGCAGTTATCACTTCTGATTATTATCTCTTAGTGTCATGCATCAAATGAGGAACTTTCTCTTTTCATTGCATCTATTAAATTCCCACTCTCATAAAACATTGAATACTTAAGGCGTACCAATACTATCATGCAAAATCAATTTTCCTTATTTTATAGAAAAGTAATTGATCTTTTACATTAAAAAAAAAGATTTTAAGAATGTATTTAAAAGTCAAGGTTAAAACAGAGAGAAAGTTCTTCCATATGCTGATTCGCTTACCAGATAGCCACAAGAGCTGAGACTGGACCAGGCCGAAACCAGATGCCAGTAGAGTCATCTACATCTCCTAGGCGGATAGCAGAGGTCCAAGTATTTGGGCCATCTTTTGCTGCTTTCTGAGACCGTCAGCAAGGAGCTAGATGAGAAGCAGAGCAACCAGGTCACAACTGGCACCCCTATGAGATGCCGTGCTGTAGGCGCCAATTTTACCTGTCACACTACAACACTGGCCCCCAAAATTGATTTTCTGATTCATATGTTTTCTTTAGAAAAACACTTGTGAATTGTGGATATTTTCAGTTTACAGATAGCAATGCCAAAGCTCAATGAAATTATGTAGTATTCCTAAAACCTATGCGGTTAACAAATGATTGAGTCCATGTTCACAACAGAATTTTGCAGGTGTCACTCAACAAATGGGCAGTGGACTGAGCCTATGTTCCAGGATTTATTAGAGGTAATAGAGCCATGATTAAGTCAGCAGGAACATTCCTGCTCTTAAAGATTTTCTTTAAAAAATATTTATTTATTTGTTTATTTGACTGGCAGAGTCATATATATATACATGGAGAGAGAGAGAGAAAGAGAGCGAGAGATCTCCCATTAATCTAATCTGGTGCAAGCATGTGCTCTCTGTTCCTATTCAACAGTTCCTTATCAACTGCAAAGACCAACCTGCTGCTTCCTCTGCCCAGGTCACTGAATGGACAGGAACAATCACTGAGTGATCTTAAACTGCTCTTTGTCATATCTGAAACAAAATGTAAATAAAGCTGACAGAAAATAAACACCAGTTTCTAATAAAATATCGAAGAGTCCTTTGCACATGGACGAGAACACTGGGCAAAGGCGGTATCAGCGTGGGTAAGGATGTTTTCTTTCTCGGGTTCCACAGACTTGGAAGAACTCAAGTATTGTTGTAAACCTGGATCAGTCACATCATCTCACATGTTCCTCTCCTAGGGTATGTGTAAGTTAGTGGCAGGGAGTGGATGTTATCCTGGGTTTCCCAACTCTAGAAAGATGCAAAAGTGTCTAAGTGATGAAAATTGCTTTAACTCAAATTCTCAAAAGTATCATTCTGAAGTTCTATCCCTTGAAGTATCAAACTTAGCTCTTAGTTATTGATCAACACTATTTAAATGTGCCCTTGCTATCTACCAACAGTGGCAAGTTACACACTTCTCAAGCCATCCTATAAACCTCACTGAGCACTATCACATGTTTTAGAATTTTCAGAATTCTGTGCATCTTGTTGGTTCATTCACTCATGTTTCGGATACATATGCAATGAATACATATTATGTGCCAGTTAATATGGCAGGTGTTGGAAAACTTAAGGTTTAAGTCAAAGTCCTTGCTCCCAAGGAGCTTATGATTTGGTAAGGAAAACAGATGAAAGATAAAGAGAGAACATCAGATACTGATGGTGACATAAAGACAAAGGCACGTGGAAAGGCAGAGCTTAAGCTTCTGTTTTACATATATCATGAAAACCTCACTAGACAGGTTAGAGAGTGAATGCATTAAGTTAAAGGGAAAACAAGAAGTCAGATGGAGGAAGAAACTTTGAGAGAATATGTGGAGACCCTGCAGTGAACATGTTGGAGAGAGGAATGATAGGTGGGGAAGATCACAGGGAAGATTCCAGGCAGTATGATACATGCACTTCCTTCTCAACTCCAAGAAGGTCTTTGGATTTGATGGCACTTTTGGTAGGAAGCCTGTAGGGGTGGAAGAAAGAATAATTGAACACCTCACCAACATGGTATGACTTATGCATTAAGTACATGCAGTAGCTGTTTCACAGATAAACAATTTTTAGTTTAAACATATTTATTATCATTTTAATTGAAAGGGACAGAGAGAGAAGTGAGAGATGCCTACCACTGATTTGCTCAAATGTTCACAATTGACAGTGCTGGGCCAGGTTAAATCCAGGAGCTCAGAGCTCCTTCAAGGTCTCCCCTGTGAGTGGCAGGGACTCAAGTGTTAGAGCCATCATCGGCTGCCTTCCAGGTTGTACGTCAGAAGAAAGCTGGGCTCAATGTAGAAGAGCCTACACGTAACCTAGGCACTATAACATGAGGTGCGGGTACCCCAAGATGGGACTTTACGCTTCCATACCAAACTTCCACCATCTAATAAAATATTTTCACTGTGTAACTTCATTCTGAAAAGAGAATGTCTTTAAAGAGGAGATTTTTGGTGATATATTCTTGATATCAAAATTATTATTTGTTGTGGAGAGTGAGAGATATCTTATCAGACATGAATGTAGAGTTGAAGGTGGAGTTTTTATTGTCCAAGCTTGGTGACAGCAGCTCCCACTACACACCAGGAGCTGTTGCACAGTGCTGCTAAATTCAAGGGTTTTTAAGCTCTTATTCTCCAATCATTTTGAGGGTTATACAGGACAAAGTTTCCGTGCATTCAACTAACCAAGCAGCAGGATATAGCAAAGGAACAGCCAGAGCCCAAAGTTCTCCGGTAGTTAATTAACCTAAAGTAGTACAGTAGGAGGCAGGAGGAGTCAGATGAGCGGAGCCTCTGGATCTGCCTTTGTGCCTTCAATTAACTTGAGTAGTTTGGTGGGGGGAGTTGGCAGAGCACAAAACCTCCATTTCTGTGCTGTCAATTGCCTTCATATTATCCGGAGTGGTATTTCAATTGTTCCTTTAATTCACTATATAAAGGCCTTCTGCATTCCTTCTAAGTTGACCTACATAACTCGCCTGGATGAAGTTGATATCATGGTCATGCCATTTTAATAGCATCCATACTGCAGATGTCTGAAGTCTAAGAGATACTTGAACAGAGTTATCCAGAAAACAAGAGAAAAACAAAGTCTTGCTGAGGCACTCTAAAGGCAGTCTGAATGTTGGCAAAAAAATACAATGAGAAAAGGAACAGGAGATAAATGAAACAGATAAAGAGAAACAATTTTAGAACATAGCAAGGAAGTTTCAGACCACAAGATTTCGATTTCCTGCATTACAGCAGCAACTTAGTAAATGGCACCTTAAAAGGGCTTGTCTTCCGGGAAGAAGGAGCAGTTCCAAAGGCCAGGTCATACTTCCTCAAGGAAATTTTTCCAGATTGGAGAAAGGTTCATGAAGATAAAGACTTTGGTCTTTTTATTCAGTGATAAATCTTTAAGCATTGTCAGATGCAGAGCAGGTGCTTGACAAATATTAGCTGTTAAATTTGTGAAGGAATGAGTGTATAGGATTCCTGGAAGGTACTATGCTCTTTCTCCTTAAATTATTTCTATACAAACCATAGGACTGTTTTAACTTTAAAGCCCTTGCAGAGAGTACACAGTCTTCTTAACATTTTCTAAAACGTTAAGGAGACACATGTGAGGTTCTGGGAAATTCCCACCATCTTTTCATTTTACACCTACATTTGTGAGAAAGCACGTTTTCAAACATCAGGGAAAACCCAGACTTCACCACCACAACACCGTGTAAATTGTCTGGGCCGCTGGAGCATAAATTAAAGAGAACTGACATAGTTGAACAAACGACGAGGTAAGAGGAAGGGGGTGGAGACACCGTAACGGAATATAAATGCCGAGATGCCTCAGAGAGTCACAGACCAAACAGGAGCCCAGGAGAGACTTTCACTGTGGATTAACTTGGCCCGAGTTTACCCCAGGGAATCTTCATGAAGATGGACTCTGAAGGTTGTTCCTTAACGGAGAATAGCTCTTTGCATCTGGAGAGAGGCCAACAAAGTAAGTCACAACTGACTTGTTCTATATTAGTCGTTTACATCTGGTAGGAGTGGGTAGGGAAGAAAATGAAGTTTTATGTGCTAGAGAACGTAGGTTTCATTTCAGCGGACAGAAGAGATAAAGTGAGAAGAGGTTAATTCCTTTTTATATATCAGAAGAGAGGATATCCGAGAGGAAAGGAGGCTACAGAATACATTTCACATCTTTCAAGATCTTTCTTATTTCAGTTTACACGATCTTAAACTTCTTAATTAGAAAATTGCCTGCCCTGGCCCAGTTCTACAGCTGTTGTTTTTTCACCCTGTGTGTACCCCAGGAAATGCTTTCTTATGGAATACTTCGTTTCCCACATAAACTATTGCAGTCTTGGTTGCTTTCCCTTGTGTCTTTATCTGCTTTCTGTATGTTTCGTGCTATGCTGCTGTGGCCATGTTGTTTAGTTGCTGGGAATGTGCAGGTTTTCAGTCTTTCAATATCTTTTCAGTCTTGCAATATCTAGTGTTAATTATTAGGAAAACATAATAAAATAATTCTGAAAAATGTCCTCTTCTGCTTTTAGTATTCCTTTACTTAAAAAATTAGTTTTCTATTTATTTATGAGTGACAGAGAGGTTAAGCGAATAAACAGAGATCCTGTGTGCCGATTCACTTCCCAAATGCCTATCACAGCAAGGGTAGGGCTGGGAGCCAGAAGTCAATCTAGGTCTCCCATATGGGTGGCAGAAAGTCCATCACTTGGACCAGCAATGCTCCTTCCAGAGCCCCGTTCTGTCAGGACGTTGGAGAGAGGAGTGAGTTTCAAAGTTGGGACAGCAGTGTCTTGGTCACTAGGATGGATACCTGCGGCCCCTGCTTTGTCAGTATTTAGGATTCTTTTTCCTTCTTTCTTTTGTTTCAACTTTGAATCACTGGCCCTGAATTATGTACAAAAATCAGGCCTTTATTTCCACTTTTATCAAAACAATGAGCATTAATTTTCCTCTTGTTTTCTATCCACATACCGACTCTATTCCTACTACCAGTATTTTCCTCATTGTTTTTCTAATTCTTTTTCCCTAATGAGTGACTTTTTTTTTTCTAAAGACAGTAATATTGGGGAATTAGAGTGTATTGGCAAGCAAGGTTATTTCAATACAGAGAGCTAAAGTAATCTCAGGCAGAAATGATTTTCTGATTGCATATCTCCAAGGTTGGTTTGCTACAAAGAGTCATCAGTTACTGATAAGCCATTCCTTTGTTTCAAAACAAAAAAATTGTATTTGGGTGAAAGGTGCAAGACCCAAATTTGGGTGTAATCAAGTTGTTCACAACTTTAAGACTTATTTGAATTGCCAAAAATTAAAGGATGAGGGGACAATGAAACTAAGTAAAAGAAAGAAAAGTGGTCATAAAAGAAATTCAGCAACTGAAAGAACTTAATGCCAGAACTAACGTTTTCAACGATCATTCCAATTTTCTGTTGGATATGACTATGCTGTTCTCATAGCTGCTTTATTAATACGAATAATCATTGTTGGGTCACTCCTGGGTGATTAAATAGGTAATAAGAGAGTAGATTTGCTTTGAAATTCTTCATTAGTAATTAGGATTTGTGAGCAAAACAGAAGTCTGCTATTGGGGGAATGTTTTGTTACCTAGGTGACAGGCTGCGGTTAACTGTACCCTCACTAGTGGAAATTCAGTGTTGTCAGAGAATGATCTCCTGAACCAACCCACTGAGGGAGGGAACCAATGGGCTGAGCCAAGGCCTGGAGCACTAGGATGGCTTGGCTGTGTTAGGACCCGTAGAACCATGATGGTCTATGGCTGTCTTGAATCCATGCAGCCCATGACGAGAAGTGAAACTAGACAGAGCTCTGATCTTGCTACCCTTCCTACCGAAGGCTGTGTCTGGTGATAAGTGGGTGAGTGACAAAGGAAGATCTGCTCTGAGAAGCAGAGAGGAATGGAACCAGAAAGGAGTGAGACAAAGGCTTCTATTGCAAAACCCAGGTATAGCTCTGTGCTGGGAAGAACATGCTGGACAAAGGCAGAAGTTGACATCCAACTCCTAAAGGAAAAAAAAACCAAAACCACGTGGATTTCAAAATAGGCCCTAGACACACACCATTTTAATCATGAAAATGATTTAACATTTGAGACGATTTCTTACTCTTATAGGCACTTTCCCTTTCATCCTTTTAGAGAACATTCTAGGGATTGTAAAAGGGAATTTTAGAACAAAACAGGAAATATTTGTAGGGCCATGCTTCTCAAATCCTGATCATTCATTCTGTAAAAGTAAACTGCACAATCGGAGTGAAAACGTTCCTTTTTCCCAGACTTCCTTCTAGTCTGTTTTTAAACAACCAATTATCATCTTTCACATTATATTCCTATTCTAAATACTTCCACAAAAATATTTCTTACCGGTCAAAGAAAAATTTGACTGTCTTCTTTTTATTTTCATGCAGAAGGAGAAATAAAAAATTAATCCTTATTGCTTTCTCTGTTATTTTAATTTCTTTTGGTGGAAAAGTCAAATATTTTACTCTTCAGTCGCATATCCTTTTGATTGATGTGTAATTTACAACGAATGCATTGGTTACTGGTGTATAGGCTAATGAGTTATGACAACGTGTAACCATAATTCCAATCAACATCAGAATATTTCCATCACCTGAGGAATTTCCCTTGTATCTCATTCCAGCTTAATTGCCTTTCCCACACACCTAAAGAGAACTATTTGATTGTTCTCAACATATCTTAGTTTAGCTAATTTTGTCATGTAAGTGAACATCTCCACACCAAGTGATATTTTATGTTTTGATTTTTTGTTTCATTCAACATCATTGAGATTCAGCATCAGGCTTTAAAAAATTGCTGAATACTTTTTTTGTGTCTTACTATACTGTGATTTACGTACTTGGTCCCCTGTCGATGGTTAGGATTCAGCCCTAAAGAATAAAGCTGATGTGAACATTCTTGTACAAAGATTTGGGGAAACTATCTGTCATTTACTCTGTGGCTACACATAAAAGGCTGGATCATAAGCAATTACGTATCTAATCTTATAAAAATATTTCCAAAATATTGCCTCAATGACTGCTCTACCTATAATGTAGAAAAATTCAGTTGTTCCACATCTGCACCAATTTTAATAAAACAATGATCATGAAAACATTTACATCTTTCCAATTTTAGACATGAAATATCAGCTCCAGGTTTTATTTTACATTACTCACATTTATACCATTCATATTGTCTCTCAAATGGTAACTATAGGAGGTGAAAGATGTTGTTATGTCTTCCAGGGTAACTGTGTTTTTAGAAAATGTTCTTATCTGACCAAAACAATCAATAGTGATTGGCTTAAAATAATCAAAGCTACAAGATGGATATATTTGTACTAAGCACAGACAGAGGGATAAAATGTACATATTTGAACATGATTTTAGTATCTCTGTGTTAAACCTGAATTGTTTTATTTGTAGCCACAAAGAAACTCTATTGCCTCACAGTTTGGGGAAACTAACTTACAAACTGAAAGAGATTGGGAAAAAAAATCTTATTTTTTAAAATATAAATGCCTCCAAGAAAGTGTCCCATGTAAAACAAACCTGGATTCATGATCACTTTTCTCTGTTTCAGATGATGCCAGGCTCTCCCGTTTTACAACGAGTCATGAAGGATCTCTCCAAGTGCCCATCCCATGTGCTGTGATGGGCGTGGTCTTCACCACCCTTTTAATTATAGCTCTCATCGCCTTATCAGGTGAGTCTGCGCTCATCAGCTGCCAGCATTCCCTGCTCTTGTTAATTTGGGATTACCCCAGTGACCACACATGGCTAACTTTCTACTGGGAAATACATAACAGTCCCTGTTTGGGGGAGGTGTCTACGATTTATGCATTATTTAGGAACAAAAATGACTTTTGAACACATGTTTCCAACTGGAATGAAAGGTGGTCATTTGCATTCTAAGAAAGTAAATAGATGGAAAAACATGGACCTCATACTCAGTGTTGATGGAAAAACTGATATCAAAGCCATGAATTAATTAGGAAGTAGCCAAGTTTTGCCTTTTATCTCAAAGCCCACAGAAGAGTAGCTGAGAATTCTTCAGATTGTATCTAGAAAGTCCTCATTAGTATTGATATATGTAATGATTCAGCTACAATAAGAGACACTGGTGTCTTGCAAATTTAAAATTCTGCGATTTTTATGTAAGATCCTCAGTAACAGGTATTTCTGAATTTTGGATTTGTTTGCTGAAATTCACTTTTTGAAAAAAATGTCCCCACCTAGTATAATAGCTATTACTTCTTTAATTACCTCCACTTTGCATTCTGATTCAAAATTTTACTTGGAATTGATAATGCACTTTTTACACTTTTCAATCAAAGACTCTGGGTATTAAAAAATAAAGCAGAAAAGAAATACCCCACGTTCTGATATTATGGCCCTAAGGTTCCTTGGCCCCCATATCCTGCAAAATAATGTTTAGGCACCATGGAAGTCTAATTGAGGTGGGCTTTCTTACTCAGAATTCTCCTCCTGGCTGTGTGCTTTGCTTTGACACTCAGGACAGCTCCGTCTCTGTAGCGTTGCATGCTGTGGGCAGTTGGATTCTTCCCTTGCTAACGCAGACCGTTTCGCCTTTTCACAGTGGGCAAATACAATTGTCCTGGCCAGTTCTCAGTGCCTGCACCAGAAGGCGCCGCTGCTTCCTGCTCAGATGACTGGGTTGGTTACCAGAGGAAATGTTACTACTTCTCCACTGAAACACACAGCTGGCCCCTGGCCCACAATTCCTGTTCCAGACTTGGTGCTACTCTTGCAGTCGTTGATTCGGCAAAGGACATGGTAAGATCAGAGGCGATTTCATGAGATACTGCTATTGGATCTACTGGGAAGAGACTGTGTTTGCCTTCTGTTTCTTTGTGAGAACATTGTACCTATTTTGTGTGCAGGAAACCTTAGCCACAGAGAGTCATAACATTAGCCTGCAATCAAAATGAGAGTTCAGCTTGGTCTCTTAAGTTTGATTTTATTGCACAGCTTCCAAGATCAGAAATTCAAATGAGCTGATCTTATTTTAGAACTAATAAATGATCTTTAACTCGCAATTTTGGGAAACAGGATTTATTATGAAATTTTCCAGTAATTTGTTTAACATAGCAGCTCTTCTGTATTTTTTTTTTTTTTAAGATCTTTCTAAAGCGATATGCGGGGAGAACAGACCATTGGACTGGGCTGAAAAAAGAGGCTGGTCAGTCATGGAAATGGCCAAATGGCAAAGAATTTAACAACTGGTAAGCCAAATTCTTATTTTCTCTTTTGAGCATGAAGGATGAGCTCTTAATTAACAAATTCGAACAGCTTTCCTATGATAATGCAAAATAAAGCAGGATTTTTCATCTCGTATTTCTGTTTTGGTGGAAAATCATTCCAACAACTTTTAAAGATTTCTTTATTTATTGGAAAGTCAGAATTACAGAAAGAGAGGGAGAGATGGAGACAGAGGACTTTCATCTGCTGGTTTACTCCTAAGATAAGAATGATGACCAGGGATGACCCAAGCCAAATCCAGGAGCCCAGAGCTTCCACCAGGTTTCCCATGCAGATGAAGGGTCCCAGCACCAAGGAGTTATCCTCCACTGCTTTCCCTCAGTGATCACCAGGGAGCTAGATGGGAAGCAGAACAGTCAGGACTTGAACTTGGGTCCATATTGGCTGCCCACTTCATTGGCAGCAAGTTAACCTGCAATGCCATAATGCCAACCCCAATTCCTTTTCACTCTTTCCAAATTTTCATCTCCACAGGGATAAAGTACATTTCCAATGCCTATTTATAAGTTTCCATGGAAAATTTCTCCCAGAATTAAAAACACTGACTCTTTTCATTACCCATATTTATGCTTTATTTATATTTACACTTTATTTTTGTCATTTGAGAATACAACTTGAATAAATTTCTCAATAATTTTTTGCTACATATTGAAACAGTAATAAGGCTGAAGCTTCAGCTCTCTAGTAAAGGGATTCTGCATAAGTGTCTGATGGTTTTATGTTCACGCATGGGTCTCAGGGGCACAAACTCCTACGTGTGCATGCACTGGAATGCATGATGCTGGGTGCATATAATTTTGGGAATTATTTCTTGATGAATCTATGAACTCAAAAATAACGAAGACTCATTCCTGTGCAAGCCAACTGAATGGATGATTTACTTTTATTTCAGCATGTTTTCTCCACGTGTTACTCCTTTCAATTCTTGTGTATTGGACTTACCATATACACCCTACTATACTACACACACACACACACACAGGATAAGCTTTGCATTAGGATTAATGCATGAAAATGACATTAATTCTAAGTTTCTTTATGATTTTACAGGTTCAACCTTACAGGGTCCGAGAACTGTGCATTTCTGAACAGCACCAGCATTGGCAGTGCAGAATGCGAAAGGGATTTACATTGGATCTGTAGCAAACCCTCCAAAGAATGAAGAAATCTTTTCGAAACTATAAACTGTTGTATGTGAAGGAATGCTGCTCTACTGCTAGAACTTTCTGAGAAAGACTTTGTGAGAAAGCTTTGTAGCATCCTGGAAATCTTTAAAACAGGACGGTGGGAAAAGGGACAGGCATTTCAGGAAGATCTGCATTGAACACTTCTTTTATTTTTTATTTTTATTTTTTGTCGTGAGATGGAAACGTCACAGGTTGGCTGATTGTCGTGTGGAAGAATGAGTATGAGGATTTTTCAGATGCACTTTATGTCTATTTTCAACCCAGGAATGAGAGACTCACTGGGTTTGGACTCATTATTTATTGTTGAACCACCACCAGTGAAGGGCCCTTCACGTACTTGCACTATTTGGAAGAGTTGGAGGGTCGCTCTGCAAATTGAATGTAAACCAAGGGGGTTTTGCGTGAGCGAGATGCTCAGTACAGGTGAATGCTTTACACTCAGCATTCACGAGTGGACACGTGCTTACGGAAGGAAACTTTGCAACAGGTCCCTCTTTTTAGAGAAATTTGCCAGTTTGTCACTTTTGCTCTCAAAAGAGAGTTGGTTATGTACATGCATACTTTCTTAATTGCAGGATATTTTTGATATCTCTGCTTTAAAGCCTTCTATGCAATGTTCTGCAGAGAAGCCATAAAGGCAAAGAATAGGATGAAATGTGTAAAACAGATAAATTTGAAAAATGTACCATGCGTGGTATGGTAAATCTCTATCAGGAAATATTTCATAATAATCAAACATAGACTAATACTATAAGGTTGTACCTTCCCTAATACATGTTTGTTATCATGTGCAATATACATCATGTGAAAATATTTTCCTATGTGCAATAAAGCATGTCAATCTGTTCATATTTCAAATTGAGTGCAGTTAAGCTGTTTTTTTGTGCACATGAAAATAAACGTAGAATCAGTACAATGATTTCTGAGAAACATTTATTCCTAAAAACAGTGTTTATTCATTTATTACATTAAAAACAGTGTCTCGGGCCCGGCGCGGTGGCGCAAGTGGTTAAAGGTCCTCGCCTCGCACGCCCGGGATCCCATATGGGCGCCGGTTCTAATCCCGGCAGCCCCGCTTCCCTTCCAGCTCCCTGCCTGTGGCCTGGGAAAGCAGTCGAGGATGGCCCAAAGCTTTGGGAACCTGCACCCGCGTGGGAGACCCGGAAGAGGCTCCTGGCTTCGGATCGGCATAGTATCGGCCCGTTGCGCTCACTTGGGGAGTGAATCATCGGACAGAAGATCTTCCTCTCTGTCTCTCCTCTCTGTATATCTGCCTTTCCAATGAAAAAATAATAAAAATAAATCTTTAAAAAAAAAAAACAGTGTCTCATATTCAAATATAAGACAGAACATCCTGACTTTTAAAAAGAATTACATTTCTGACAAAACTTTAGTTTCATAACATGGCCTATGTATTTTAAATTGTTCTCATGTATGCCTATCCTAAAGGGCCACATGCATTTTTCTGTGTATAGTAGATGCTTATAATAATTGGGTCCTCATGATATTTGCTGCGGAAACATCTTACTCAATCCTTTAAGTACACACTGTTTTAATCTTGAAAACTGGGTATTTTCAAAATTGTTTTATAAGCATATTTTCAATATTGTTCCTTTCTGAAAGCTGGTAATGTGTATGCTTTTTTTCATCTGTTGTTACTAGCATGTCTCATGCATATGTATACACACATACACAATGTAGGTTTAGAACACTTCTTGGTGAAAAAAATAGACAAGTTTCTTTGTAAAATATTTCTTCATATTTATTTGTGAGACATACACACCACACACACACTCCCATGTACTGGCTCACATTACGTGCTTGCAATGGCCAGGGATGGCCCAGGCCAAAGCCAGGAGCCAGGAACTGAATTCAGGTCTTTCATGTGGGTGACAGGGAGACACGTGCTTGCACCATCACCCACTGCCTCCCAGGGTGCATGTTAGCAGGAAGTTGGAACCGGGAGACGGGTCAGGCTCAGATCCAACATGGCATGCAGGTGTCCCATGCAGGGACTTGAGGTCTCTTTGCCCCAGCATTCTACCAGTAACAACAGCTTGAGTCATCTTAGCACAGTCTTGTGCTTGTGTGGTATGTGTGGAGTGTGTCAGTGGACAGGATGGCTGCCCAGGACCAGGGCTCAAGGAATCATGTGGCCTAAGTATTGGCTCTTACAGCCACTGCCTAACTAGTTATTTTGTTGAGAATCAGAAACTCAGTTAAGATTGATTAGATGTTAAAATAGCTTATACAAATGAGCATAGGACAGTATCTGGATCATAGCAAACCCCAGAGATGATGAAATGTTAACAGTGATGATTAGCAATGGAAACACGATACCATCAGATTTTCAGGTTGGGCATAGGCAACATTTCTATGGAATAGATTTAATTCATTTTTTGGAGGACTTTGTAAAAAAATGTATTCTTGGTAAAGTGATAAGGATGTTGCTTGGGATCCTTTATCTTTCATTTCCTGGTGCCTGGATTTGAGTCTTGGCCCCCTTTCCGATCCCATGTACTTGGGAAGCAGCAGCTTGTGGCTCAAACACTTGGGTTCCTGTGACCCTCTTGGGAGACCTGAATGGAATTCTTGGCTTCTGACGTCAGCCTAAACCAGTGCAAGGTACTGTGGGCACTGGAGACGTGGAAAATTTCTCTACTTCTGCCTGTTTCTCTTTCAAATTCAAAATGAGTAAGTTTGAAAAATAAAGTGAAAATATTCCATCTACAAGAGCACCTGCTATTGTGGTGGACGTGAGAGTTAAAATACTAGACAGATTCGGCTTGACAGTTGGCTTTGTAGAATTTGTGGTCTATTTGTAGAACACACAGGAAGATACATGACAAATATGATGACCAATAGAATATCACATAGAAGAAATGGAAGGCGCTGTGGCAGCCCACCACAAATGTATTGCCCTTGCTTGCTTATGGTTTTGAACTTTCGGTTTGTCTTCAAACACTAACTGTAAGACAGTCGCCTCAGAGAGTTGCATGAAAGCATACATATTTCAAATATCAATCACCTGTGTTTCAAGATAATTTCATTTTAACTGTTTTCATCTGTTGCTTTCACATAGAAAGGGTGAGATCTTCCATCTGCTGATTTGCCCCCCAAATGGCTACAATAGCTTACGTGGAGCCTGGAATTCCACTGGGTCTCCCTCGTGGGGATTAGACGACCAAGCCTTTGGATCATTTGCTGCTGCTGCTTTCCCGGGTGGATTAACTGGGAGCAGGATTCAAAGCGAAGCAACCAGGACTCAAACCAGCATTCAAACTGATGCCAGAATCACACGGGACTTAACTCCCTGTGCACAATACTAGCTCCTCAATGCAATTCTTTTCAGAAAGAGCAATTTCTATTAGAAATTATAGTAATAAACATAGCAAATGATTTCCTAGGGGGAAAATGTTGGAAAAATACATGAGCAGAAATTTTGTTGGCATTAAATTATGTGAACGACATTTTTTCTCCCAGCATAGTAGGAATATAATTGAAAGCAATTTTGAGGCATCTTTATAATTTAACGTTTTTCTACATCGAATAGGCTTTTTATTCTTAAGAAAAGCTTTTTAGAAAAATCACAAACAAAATTCATAGAGGGAATAATTTTGTTATTGGCAGTTTTGTTTCCACAATCTTTTAACAGTATCCTCTTGATCACCAGTGTGCTGCAGCATCATCTAGCGGTTGAATAAAATCATTGCATCTTTTTAAATTTTTAAAGTTTTTTTTAAAGATTTATTTATTTTTATTGGAAAGTCAGATATACAGAGAGGAGGAGAGACAGAGAGGAAGATCTTCCGTCCGATGATTCACTCCCCAAGTGAGCGCAACGACTGATGCTATGCCGATTCGAAGCCAGAATCCAGGAACTTCTTCTGGGTCTCCCACGCAGGTGCAGGGTCCCAAAGCTTTGGGCCGTCCTTGACTGCTTTCCCAGGCCACAAGCAGGGAGCTGGATGGGAAGTGGAACTGCCGGGATTAGAACCGGCACCCATATGGGATCCCGGCGCATTGAAGGCGAGGACTTAAGCCGCTAGGCCACGCCGCTGGGCCCTTTTAAATTTATTTTTGATGACATTTACATAGTTGATTAGGGTGGGAATTGTCAAGAGTTAGGGGTAAGTAGACAAGACCATTGTTTCTATATTTTCTTTTTTTCTCCTTCTGTATCTGGGGGAAGGGGGAAGATAGAGCATCCAGTCTTCCAACAGTCTCAATACCAAGGCTGGGAAACAGCCACCCAACATCATCCCGGGGCCCTCAGTATGGAGCGTGCTCCTAGGATTCTGCGTAGGTGGTTTTGATTGTCCTGAAATGCTGTTGTTACCAATCCAAGGATTAGGGAATCCTTCCCAGGTCCATTGGCTGACATAGTCCACTTTTGAGTCTCCATTCACCCAGATGGTTTGCTGCCACCACTTGGCTGGGTTAGTTGATCCATTCGTTCTGCCCTCCTTCCTCTCTTATGGTAACTGATATCCTCTGCAGGCTCCGACGGACTGCCATATCCTCCATGTGTATCTGGACATGCTGTCCAGAGCTCCACCTAAGCCACTGAGGAGGCCCAATTCTGACACATGCACTCCACTATCAGCACGGAACCTGCAATTCTCCCCATGGTTGGAGTTCTGAGTCTAGCGATTCAGTTTGGGGGATCCCTAAAGTAACCTCGTTTGGGGTGATCCCAGACCTGACTCTTGTGTGTGCTTTCCAGTATGGGGTTCAGTTCTATGGGTTTCTCAGTATGGGGTTCAGCTCTGTCGGTCACCCACATTAGCTTACGTGTGCACTGGTAGGTGCAGTAGCTAGATCAGTTCTGTTTCTAGCCCTGTTTCCTATGCAAACCAATGGTGTGCTACAGCCAAGCCCAGCCCTATCCACCACACACTCGACCTTCACGTATACCAGCAGGAGCTATAACCTAGCTATAACCTAGTTGCAGGGATCCCCAATAACTCACACGTGGCCCACTCCCAGCCTGTCCCTTCCTATGCTTGTCATTATGTGCCACAGACTGGTCCTGTCTGTCCCACAACCCATTCAGCTCTCGTACATGTCAATGGACGTTAAAGCCTAGCTCAACCCAATTGATTCCACTATCCAGCCCACACTTGTGCCGGTGGGTGCCACCCCCTATCTAGCCCTGCCAGCCCCTAGTCCTGATTCCCATGCTCACCAGTGGGAATTGCAGCCCATTGGAGAGGTGCTCACAGTTTCCCTACTGGGCCCACTGTCAATCCTGGATCTTGCACTCTCCAGGTGGTTCTGCCATCTAACTTGACAGGATTTGCCTGCTGATGCTGTGGCAATGCCAACCAGCTTGCATCTACTCTGACTTATACATGCATAAGTGGGTACAGACAGTGAGCCCAGCCTGGTTCTCCCCCAATAAAGCTCACATGCAAGCCAACAGGCACTGGACTTTGATGTGGTTTATGGGTGTCAGAGGCAGCAGCCGACCTCAAGTGACACAAAGCTCACTCCAACATCGCCTCAGTTTGGTATCAGTAGTATAGCATGTTAGAAAAGAAACAGCTTTAAGAGAAACTTCTATTAAGTTTATAGAGTGTATTTCAAGAACCAAGATAAGATAAATTCTATTCCTTTCTATCATTTCTGTAATAAAATCCCTCCCTTTCCTTGTCTTCTTCCCAAATTGCTATTTCACGTTGGAGAATTATACTGGCCATTTATAGAGTATGTCAGAGGAACATAGCTTGAACTAAAAGAGGAAGTGGGTTACAGAATGTAGAGATGAAATGTATTCTGTCACATTAATACAGCAAAATTATTGCATGTTTATGCTGAAAAGCAACTTCAGTATAAGAACTATGGCTAATCATTTCTGTATTATGTAGATACTCAAAGATCGATGACTTTGATAAGACTGAGTACAAATCT